ATCCTAGTCATGGGTTTTTACTTATACAAATTGGGTATTATTTATAGGAACAAAAAGTGAAGGGTTTTAGATACGGCAAATTAAATTTGAAGGGTGTAAGCCAAATTTACTATATTAAATATCATGTAGTCTTTTCACACCCAAAAAAAAAAAGAAAAAAAAACATGTAATCCTGGTGTGGTTGCTACCCAACCTTTGCGGTTGGGAGACCCGACTAACCCCGACTGTAAGGGGTGTGCTTTGTGTGACTTCAACCACCAATGTTAAGGTGAAGAGCCCAAGATCACCATGCCCCACTTAAGAAGGTTTTCATAACAACCAATCACTTTAATGTCCTGCTTAATTATAAGTCCATACTAAAAAACATGTATTCAAATAGCCGTAGGCTATCCCATATTTGAAACCAACTCACCCGATACCTATTATACAACTCAAAAGCACACTTGAGTAAGCAAGCATGTGAGAAACATAGCAAAACTTTCCTCTCTTTTTTTTGTCGTGATAATTTTCTTCACTCAATTATTAGGGATTTTGTTAAGATTTTGAATTTTTTTATTTTAAAAAAATCATGAATAAGAGTTTGGTGTTGACTCTTCTTATTCTATGTGCACTTTCATCTAAGGGAATTTTTCGATAATATTGATAATGAAAAGTGTATGTGTATCATTTTTTGTTATCAATGAAATTCACCTGTGGCGTCGAGTTTCTTTATAAGGTAAATTCAGTCCAATCAATTTTAAAATCATGGATCTGTCCCTAGATAATACGTTTGTTTGCTTCCTTAAAATTGTGTTTTTGATGCCAATGGGTTCTAATTTAGTGAAAAAGGGTCTTGGCTTGCTGATCAATATTCTCAAGTTCGAACCCCCATCACATAGTAGTGTGTATGTGCGTGTGAGAGAGAGAAACCCTCATCCCTCCCCTTATAATTTAGACTTTCGTTTACATAAACAAAAATCGTGGTTTTGATTTATTTACAATCATGTTTCTCATTTAATGTCGCGAGGAATCATTGGACTGAGATTTTGTTTATACAATTTTAATTGTTTAAAAGATACAAAATTTTTTATATAATGATTTTTTCTATTTTTAGAATACCATTGAAAATGGAAAGACAAAAATATCCTTAAAATTTGATGGAAAATTGGATGGTATTAAAGTTAGATGACAAATCATGGATTTTGAAAAATTCAGGTGATATTTCTCTCTTTTTATTTTTTATTTTTATTTTTATTTTATTTTTTAAGGTGACAAATTAAAAATAATATATAAATTCAGGTGACATTTCTACAAAAATCCCAATTATTTTATATCTACAATAGCTCTGCTCTATGGGTGACTAATTGTTGGGTCAAAGTCTAGTGATAATTTGACATTAATTCCAAAATATAAAGTGATATATTGAGGTATGAACCAAACTTAAATCATTTATCGCATTCTGACTCAACAATAGCACACTCGTTTGACTATATATATATAACAATAGCTGACCTACAAAATCTTTAGTCTATGAAGACCAAGAGAACTGAGACTCCTACTACTGCCATGTTAGTTTGGTTGGTGAATCATGCAAATTTGGTGTTGCCCACCATATATGCCATTATTTTTCCTTTATCGGAGTAGGTATGAAAAGGTCGCAATACAGATCAGTTCTTTCTGCGGGATATTAATCTCTTTTTTTTTTTCCAGTTGTATCATGACTAATATTCTGGTCTATAAGGCTCTTTTATTGACTGGGTTAGACTCTGTTAGCAAAACATGTCTTATAATTAATTTCTCAAAATATGTGTGTTGAAGGGTATATTGGATTTTATTATTATTTTATAAATGATATGATATAATGATATTTGCAAAGTACTTTTACGACCGGGTAATACAATCACAACAAAATTACATAATAACATAATAACGTTAATCACAATTAAATATCGCACTCATCATAAATATATATCATCATCATCATTTATTTGTCAATACCACCAATTTAGTTGATGCAAATACTAATGAAAGAGACACAGAAATATGGACCCCCAATCGACCCTTAACGTCCTTGTCGGGCAACCTCCAACATAGATAAGCTCAAGGCCCTTTGCCCAATAGTTTTTTTTAGGAGCTATTTTTTTCTCAGGAAAAAAAAAGTTTTGGCTATTCTTTATAGCTTTACACTTCTTTTATTTATTTATTTTAAAGAACTTACTTACCGACCCAAAAATAACATTACTTTAAAAGATTCTGGCAAGAGAAAAAAAGACAAAAACTTAACCCCAAAAAAAAAAAAAAAAAATCGAAATTCCATTCGACAAATTTTCTTTTGTTATATGTTTGAGATGGTAAGCTTCAAGGTACTTAAAGTTGCTAATTATAATCTAAATCATATATTTGAACTTGAATTCATCAAATCAAATATTCAAATTATCTTGCTGTTAAGATGGCATGCCAATTTGTTTGGAAAAGATAAGGCCCTGTTTGGTATACAACTTGAATCCGATCTTTTAAACTCAAAAACAGAATTTAAGTCCAAAACAAAGAAAACCTATTTGGTAGCCCTATTTTTAAAAACTCAAACTCAAGAACAACTAAAAAAAACACCCTAATTATTAAAAACAAAAAACATATATATTTTTATTTTTTATTTCCTAATAACCCACAAGTTCTCAAATTTTAAAAATTTGAAAGAAATTTTCAAGTTGCATATCAAACAAGTTTTTGAATTTTAAAAATAGATTTAAGAACTCCTTGTTTTTAAGAAAAATCAAAGTTTTTGAGTTCCCTGTTTAAATAGGATACCAAATGCCCCCTAACATTTTCCATTGTGGATTATTTTCCGATGTGGGATATTTTCCAAATTATTGACTCTCATATCACTTGTTGGCAACTCATTGCTTTTGTATACTTGAGTTGACACCGCCTTAATCACCCTATGTGTGCTCAATTAATTGTCTCTAATTTAACAACTTTATGTGATGAGGTGTTAGTTCTATCATCTAAAGTCTTGTGATTGATTTTATCCTAAAAGATCTCGATGCGATGTAGAGCAAAAAAAATCCCTGATGTTGAAAAACTATTTTTGGTCCATGCAATTTCTAATAATGACTTGATATATTTTTTTTGGGTCAAACAATGACTTGAATGTTAGAAGTGAGATATTGGAGGAGATGCATTTTGAGTTTCTCACTTAATAAACTTGAGAAAATTGTGGCATTTTTCGGAGAAGACGATAATAATGATGAAGATGACGAAGACTAGAGTATCATTTATATCGTTATATTTTTTTGGAATTTTTATACTAATTTTTGTTTTTTCTTCGAAATCTTTTCTTTCGGTTACAATATATATATTTTTCTATGAAATACTTTGGTGTAGAGTTATGAGTATTTTGTTTTACACATTTTACTTTATTATGTTGAATACATTAGTTACGAATTAATTAGTTCTAAGTAGTGCTAACCATAGTCACCCGTATGTTTATTTGGTTGTGTATTTTTTTTTTGTCAGCCGTTTCTACATTATTAGACAACTCTCCTAAACATTTCTCATTATCATTATATAGATCAAATGTACAACACTATAAAAACATCGATCCACATAATCAAATCTTCGTGTGGAAAATCATGGTAAGAAGTTATTCAATACATCTCTCTAGATTTTAAAATAACTTTGACACCATTTCTTTTGGCATGGAAAAATAAAGTATTTTATCTACGCCGGCCGCCGCTGCGATTGTGCAGCCGCCATGACCAAACCCGATGGTCTATATGGCTGCGTTTCATGGCTTTCTATGCGATATCACTTAATCTTTTGATAATTAAAAATATAGTCGGTAAAAAACGACGATTGGTTGAGTTGGTAAGGATCATTATCTTCGTATTTAGATATAAGTTCGAGTCTTGCTGCCGACAATCTCTCTTAATGGGTAATTAGTAAAAACTCAAAAAGAGGTTAAGACTCCCTTTGTAAGTCATCAAAAAGACCATGATACACCTTGATCCCGGAAATGGGTAGCCTCCTCTCCCCCTTAACTTTTTTACAAATTTATAAATAAACCAAATCCTAAACATGTATTTATAAAAAAACCCAAGCACTATTTAAACATAGAAACACACCCAAAATTAACCCCAAAGTCAACTTTTTGGGTGTGTTTATAAATGAGTTTTGAGTGTGTGTAATGATGGGTTTTGGGTGTGTTTATATGTTTAAATAGTGCTTGGGTTTTTTTATAATTTCAACCCCCATTTTTGATGTTTTAGTGAAACTCTCCAACTTTTTTTCATTAAAACAAACATAGCTGATAGTATTTCACAACAAAAGGGCAGTTGAGTCATTTGACAATAGCAATGGCATTTATGTCATTCCGTAAAAACTGCGGGGCATATGTAAAACCAAACCACATATAAATTCATGAACCACGCCGCTTCAGTCAGTCTCCCTCTCTCTATTTAATCCCCAATCTTCTTTCTTCCTCCTCTTCTCCTCTCTCTCTCTCTCTCTCTCTACAATCTCAACCTCTGTATCTCCCCATACTCCGCCAGATTCCGGTGGCCCCACTTCTCTCTTCGCCGTGTGTACACTCCGATACATCACCATCCCAATCGGTTCGGGCCACAGCTACCTGGATCCGATTTCATCTATCGAATCTAAGCCTCTAACCTAACCCCCAATCCCCACCCCATCTCCTTCCAATTCACAAATAATTATTTTTCTTTTTCAAATTTCCTTTTGTTTCTCTAAAAAGGCATTTTTCTTCTTCTTTGTTTTCTTTGTGAAATTACATTTCTAACTCTACAAATCCTCACTCTGGCGTTTTAAAAAAAGAGTCCTCCGGTACCTGATTTGACGCATTTGTCCCCCGGCAACGAATCCCCACTTGACGGTTTTGCCCACTCTGGCTTTTTTCTATTTCGAGGTTCGTTCGCTGACGTGGCATGGAGTTTTAAATTCACATCTTTCAAAACTTACAGATGAGTTTCCAACAAAGCCATAGCCGTAGGATCGTGCCACCTGGCCCATCCAGAAAGCGAAAGGAGAGACAAGCCAATGCCTCGTCCAACGGCTTTAAACAGCCGGCTCCAAAGGCTCCAACCTTAAGCCAAACGACAGCTCCGACTTTGTCGTCGAATCGGCTGCTGGCGGGCTACATGGCGTACGAGTATTTAACGAAGGGCACGCTGTTCGGTCAGAAGTTCGACCCGGCTCGAGCCGAGGCGGTGCCGCTGACGAGCTCGGCACCCGAGCCGAGGGGGGGGTAACGGGGCA